ATTAAAAATGAATAATAATAAATATCTGATTATGAATATTTTATAGATCACTTCATGATCAATTCCATCTGATTCGCCTTAATACTTCGATTTCCGCTTTGGCTGCTTTAATTTCCTTTTTTTGTATAGATTTTAAATGGCAGGATAGAGTAAGTATTAATTTTTAAGTTTAAAATCCTTTGAAATTTCTCTAATTTTGTTTAATTATTCTAGGCATCCTGTCGTGTACTGTCAGGTTTTGCTCATTTCTTTTATATGGCCCTAGCAACGTGGTTAGTGGTAGAAGCCCATGCCTTGTTTGCAGCTATTATCATGGGTGCAGTCGGAGGAAGAATCATTTGCTACCTTTTGATTGGATGGGGTATGTAAAATATATTATCAAATAATTAATATGTGACCAAAAGGTTCTTAGAATTATAAATTATTTATTTTATATAAGTATACAAAATTGAACTGGCACACACAAGAACATATTCTTGTGAGTGCCAGCTTGTTTTGGGCTTGCATTGTAAATTAAATGTAAAGGTTTAGATACAGATACAAATATACTGATATAAGATGTCATTGAATAAATACTGTATGAAACAGAATTATATTATTTTCTTATATTATTATGTAATTGAACAGCAAATTTATACGATTTAAAATTAGGTTTAAGAATATGAATCTTACTAAAGCGTATTAAAAATGAAAAATAATTATATCGTTCGATTTTAAGATTTATTTTATATCTTAAAAATAATTATATCCCGAGATTTTCCGGGATTCCGGGAAACAATGCACTTTTTCCCGAAATCCTGGGACAAGCAAAAGACCAGGAAATAGGAAACCCTACTTGAAACAGATTTCAATATGCCACGAGTCATAAATCATCAGAAACATTGTGCGAATCCACCAGCACATACTCCTAGCGAGTTTTGGAGATCACTAATGCTTGATATGACATATGAGGATATTTAAAAAGAAAAAAAAACTATATTTTTTTGTACTTACACAATTTGAATGATTTCCTCGGTGAAGCTGAACTTTGGTACAACCAACTGAAAGGGAAAAAATGTGCCAAATGCCGAACTGGAGGAGATAGAACTAGCTGCACTAGTTAAAGAAACGCAATTGTTCTACCAACCCATAAAACGGGCGCTACTTATCTCACTTGCACATCCCTGCACAACGTGCACTATCGAAAGATCCTTTGGCACCTTACTCAGGGTAAAAACTTGGATACGGTCAACAATGACAGAAAATCGGCTTGTCGGTATTTATATGATGAGTGTGCATAAAAAGAGTGTTCTGGAAGCTAAAAATAAATTTGAGAAAGAAATTTTGACAAGATTTAGCCATAACTCCCGTAGGCCAGTGCCGAAATAAGATTTAGATAGGTTCGAATAGCATTGCAACTACTTTTAGCGTTTTCAAATGTTCAAATAAAACCATTTTTTAATTAATGAACAACGTTATCTTATTTTTGTCTCACCCTGGAGAAAATCCTGACTACGCCCTTGACCGCCAGACTTTTGCATTTTGGATTCGGGGGATCTTGAAAAACGTCGAGGTCGAGGCATCAAAAATATTTAGGCTTTCTTTCTGTATGTATGGGTGTTAATGTGTTTGGGAAGGCATGATTCTGTTTACTCACTTTGAAGCTTAATAAATCCTGGTATATAAGAGGAATAATGTACAGTACTACTTGGTGTGATATACTCTTACGTAAGATAACCTTTGTAGTTCTATAAATCAAATATTATAATATAATATAACAGAAGGGTTAAAAGTACGAAATAATCTAACAATCTTAATCTTTGCTGTTAATTTTTGATTGGGCAACGCCGGACTCAACTGCTAGTATATATATGTTTAACATATACATAAAATAGAATGGCTGCTGTCTGTCCTCCTTATACTCCTAAACCCTTTTTTGACGGCCGGATGGCCGAGTGGTCAAAAGATAGCATTTTGTCTTCTATTTTTGACAACGTCCTAGCAAAATTACCAGGCTCTGTATCTTTAATAGAAGTTAATAGCCGTATTCTTTTACATAAACTTAAAAAACAATATTGTAACTGTTTATAAACAGCACGAAATGAAAAGACCAGTGATAATCCCAGGAAACATACCTGTAAGCCTTTTACAGGTAGAGAAACTGCCGTCAAGCTTGCGTAGATCAATCTTTTTCAAATTATAAACGTTTTATCTCAGATGTACACGAAACACTTTAATAAAATTAAGTCACAAAGTACAGCTCGAAGTCTTTTTCAGTGTTTGAAGTTTATTTTTTATATTTAGTATCGTGCCGACATTGCTTCATTCAAAACTTCCTGTAGTTGTAGTCTATGTAATGTGCATTTTATTCATATATTCAGTCTTACTGTCAAATCTGCTTCCAGTATGCTTATACCACAGCTTTCAAAAGTTTTTCTTCAGTTAGATGTTTTTGCTGAGCTTACTTTATCAACCTGGCTTTACAGTTTTTTACGGGATCACATAAGAGCAATTATTTTCGCATTTTTACAAGATTTTTTCATTTAAACAACTCATATGAAGTCTTTCGGAAGGTTAGCAATTTCCATCACACGCACAACCTGTCTAACACGGATCACTTTTTAAGTATTAATAGTAGATCAGTATTAATAAATAGTCATCGACCATCCTCTCTTTTTGGAGGAGGTCAACGACGACTTTTGATCGAATTTATTTTAACCCCCTTCCGCGGCAGTACATTCTTTCTATCAAACCATCGGTATGGTGGCATTCGAATATGAAAATTGCGGAATACGATGTTACTAGCCTGCACATTATTGGGTTTCAAGAGTTTAAATATTTGTTCCATTTTTCGCGAAATTTGATTCGGCTGTGAATGAAACAATTTGTTAGTTTTGTTGTGAACGAAACAATTAGAAAATTTTAAGATTGGTGTCTACTTGACCAATGAAATTGCGCCATTTCGTACCGTCCGAGTATCGCGATAAACGTGACAATGGTAAGCTGAAGTAACCAAATTCCTTATATGGATTTATTTTAATGATTATTATATTACAGGGGTGGGCAAGCAAGAGTTCAGTGGGGCCCGAAATGTAGGTTTTGCAAAATGCATGGGAGCCGCAATTCTGTACTTTTTTATTCTGTACCGCGATTTTATTATATAATATAAATATGATATAAAACAAATATTGAATTTTTTAATAAACATATTTTCACAAAATTGTGGAAATAAAATTGTAAAAATAATAATAAAAAGCAGAAATTAATACTTTCAGCAAGAGCCACATGTAACTCAAAAAGAGTCACATTTGCCCATGTCTGATATATTATAAATAAGTTATATTAAATATATTTATTACATGTACTGCATTCTTTCATCAATACATGTACAAGTTAAACTATGATAGAAATGATGAAAGAAAGAAAAAATGGAAGAAAATAGTATGTTTAAGTGATTATAGAACATTGTGATGTAAAGCATTTGAAAATATACTCATTGACAAGAAAATTATGCACCCACATAGAATNTTCTGTACCGCGATTTTATTATATAATATAAATATGATATAAAACAAATATTGAATTTTTTTAATAAACATATTTTCACAAAATTGTGGAAATAAAATTGTAAAAATAATAATAATAATCAGAAATTAACACTTTCAGCAAGAGACACATGTAAGTGAAAAATAGCCGCATTTGCCCATGTCTGTTATATCATATCATATTTGATTTATATAACTACAAAGGCTATCTTATCCCCGACCTAATCTGAAGAATTAAAGGTAATGGTAACAATTATTAAAAATGAAAAGATAGTTTTTATTAGATGCAAATTTATTGAAAACATACATTCCCTTGTCGTTTCACGGTAAATATAACAATAGTAGCCCAATTAACCAAATCTTTAATATGGTTATTATTTTAATGTTTGACCTTATTACTTCTCGATCTGGCAGCACGAGTAATCCGTTTATTCGGTGTTGCTTGATCGAGAAGTAATAAAGGCAAACATTACTGAACAGGGGCCTCTAAAAGACGAGAAGAGACCAGAGCCATTCACTATTTGAGGCCTTTGTAAATGGGAGGCCCTAACGAATGGTCCTGCCTGACTCCTTGGTAGGGATTGAATGTATCACTAATTAAAATTCGCTGTAAACAATTATCATCGCTGCGTTTTCATTATTGATAGGCTGTTGGTATACATAACTACCGTCCTTCTCTCGAAGGTTTTGTACATTTCTAACCTTTCAAGTTGTTTCGGCCGAGGCAGTATTTTCTCTCCGTGGCGTATTTTTCGTTTCTAAGAAGTGAGTAAATTGTAGGGTTCTTCTAAAACCTTACAATTTCCTTACTGCTTAGAATTCTGTGTTTACTACATGGGCTATCTCCTTATAAGTTACATGGAACATAAGTTACATCACACGGTGACTACCACGCCGTGTGATAGAACTGCCGCGGCCGAAACATTCGGAAAGGATAGATATCTACAAACTGTTCCGCTTGAACATAGATAGTTCATATATATGTTACCGTAGGCCTATAATCATACAATTTAGCAAATTGGCCGTAGAGTCAATTGCCGCCAACTTTGATGTTAGAAACAATAATGTAACAAAACGATGACGTCATCTATGTTATTATCAAAATTTATTTTAAATTATCATCGTATTTCCAAACGCCGTTTAGTAAAATCGTTATAAAAAGTTTTAATTGGCTTTTGTAATTCTGAGTAACATTTTGAATAAGATTCATTCGTTTCCATCCAATTTTCTTCTTATAAGCATAAAATTAAAAAGTAAAATTGGATTAGCTGTATGCGAAACTCCCGTGAACTTTCATCTATCGACCCGAAAGTTTCGCCAGTACCTCGCCGATAATGAGAAAGGATTAGGTTTAGAATTTGAGCTTTTCTAGGCCCTGTAGTTTTTTCTTTAAGACCGAAAAATGAGAAGAAAATAACCTTTTTTGCAGATCTTAGCACTTTTCGATTGCTTATATTTCGGCAACCCCTTTATACAAAATCTCGAAATTTTCATACTGTAATGAGCGCAATTATATCTCTCATACATACCCGTAATGTATAAGTAATAAATCAAATTTTTCATAGAATATAAACTAAATTATCTTGTGTTTTAATCATTTTAAAGTAATTCATAATTAAATTAACTCAGAAAAAAATTTTAATTAAAAAAAATCAATTACAAGTCATTAATTTTTTTTATAAATGTAGTTTAAAATGTTTGGATGGATCGATTTTCCGTACGAAGTAACATTCGAATGTCGAAAAATCTTGGGTCTGTAAATATAAAAGAATTACATTAAATAACTCGTAACTACGATACTAGAAATAGGAAGAAATTTTTTAAATTTCTTCCTATAAATAAAACGAAAAAATGATATTTACCTGTAAAGATTGTGCCACAAAAGCCCTTGGTTATCCCACTTTTGCGGAGGTTACTTTCTCCAGGCATTTATTTTCTTCTTCTATTGTAAAAACCTTTAACGAAAGTATTTACGTATTCCTTATATTTTTTAATTATAACTTACTATATTACTACGTTACGTATCATTAACACTCACAGTGTTTAAACGTTCTTCGTATTC